AAAATTCTAAAATCGGGAAAAATCGAAAATTTTTCAATGAAATCGAATTTCAAAATAATAGTACATTCTACAGACAAACTTCATAAGGACCTTTAAAAATTTGCCGTAAAAAAATCAGCGAACCAGTTGAAGATTATTTGTCTTTTTCCAATCCTTGCTTTTTTCTATATTGAAGTGAACATTTCTTATTGTTTTCAATTCTGAATGAATAATATTAAAAATGAAATGAGTTTGTAATACGATGTTAAATGGCGATCTTTCATGTATAAAATTGGCATCTAGCTTTCAACTCCAGGACCTTCATCTGGAAGATGCGAACACATTTATACAAACAAAAATGACCGAAAACAGGTCAAACAGGTCAAAAAGTGGACCTGTTTCTTTCATATGACAATAATTCATCCAATGAGAACTCAAAATGCAAAATACATTGGGACTGCAATCCGTGAAATACCGACTATAAAGAACGCTAAATAGTAGAGCGAATTCCTTCCAGAAATGTTTTCCAAACATTCAAGATACCTTTAATCGCTTTGGCAGGTCATGATATGGATCATAACCCCCGATAACGGAACAACCCGATTTCAAGTATATTCTACATTTTAACCATATTTTTCGTACTAATTTTATCTTATGTTGATAATTTAAAAAAAAAAAACCATCCTTGCAAGAAATGATCACGTTTTAGTATCACCATCATATGATTTAAGGTATTTTCGGGGTCTTGGCGACTTTTTCCATTTTTTGGCCCTTATTTGACACCTTTGTTTCTAAGGGGGAAGAAAACCTCTTCTCATAATTTTTTTTTTTCGGAAAAGGGCCCATCTTAGTCTTGAGGCTACATTGGGTAAAAACCCTGAGGTAGAAAACCATCTTAGAGATAATTATCCACATATGCATTTATTTAAGTATAGTCCCCACATTAGAATACCCCCAAGTCCACTTTTCCAACCAATGTGTGGTCACAAAAGAAAATTTGGTATTCTATTGAGTTTGTAACCCCCAAGAGAATATTGGTTGGGAACGTAGATTTGGGATGTACGTCTATATGAAATAAACTCCGAAATGTCAATCTGGGACTTATTCAGTCGGAAATTGTGGCAGAAACATGAAAAAAAAATACGAAATTAGAAAGTAAAACGAGACCGAACATTTCTTTAATCGTCATTGAATTACACTACGATGAAAAATGTGGACTTTATTGGATCTCCATCGCACAATTTAAATGACAAAAAATTTATGCCCAAAAGAGTAGTTTTTTTTGGATATTCTGACAACATTCTACCTTCAAGTATGAGGTGAACAAAACTAAATACCAAGCAGTATGGGATCTTAAACGTTGGAAATACAAATTCGAAATTATAGATCATTTGAATGAAAATGTTAAGCTTTTTACAACAATAAAAAAAGAGCTGAATTTTCACATTGGGCTATTATAAATGTTCTTTATCATAAAGGTATTTAACATAAAAATTACTTTCTATTTAGTCATGGAGTCATTACTTATAATGAAAATTGTGCCGCTTACATAAGTCAGATCTGTGATTTATTATGCTTTAAAAAATACGCATTAAAGACTAAAAGTACGGGCCGGCAACGCGGACCGGGCCAGCTAGTATATATATATATATATATATATATATATATATATATATATATATATATATATATATATATATATATATGCGGATGGAAAGACCCATATCTCTGGACCCGAAAAAGGTATTAGCACACATTCAAGCATTTGGGATAGGTAAGAGAGTCAGCTTTAATTTGGCATCAATTTTGTTGACACCCTTAATGGGCCCGTTTTGGAATTTTTGGGGGGTTTATAAAAAATCCGGGTCAAAAAAATCGATAATTTGACTATAACTTCCGTGACCAGTTATCCCATAATGTGACCACGTGTTGGATAGGTATTTCATAAGCTTTCTAACGATACCTACCCCGGGATCAGGGTAAAAACACCGACCACTGGAAAAATTGTCATGTCATGTTATATATATATATATATATATATATATATATATATATATATATATTCTGCCGATAAAAATATTGTCTATTGTTTCCAGTTTTCTCTGAAAATTTCAAATCGTGGACAAAATGCGTACCTCGAATGAAAGCGAAAACAAAATTTACTTTCTTTTGAATGCACATACGCCATTCAACATTGTAGTTTTCATTCATAATTTTCAGTCTTCCCAAAAGTATTTCAAATTTCATTAAATGTTTTTAACTGGACATTTATTTCTTTTTATTATTTTTCATCATCATAGTCAGTGTGGCATTTTTGCAGCAAAATTTAGCATTTATTTTTTGTATTTAGCCGCAAAATTTTCATTTAGCATTTTTCTTAGCTTTTTGAAATTATTAGTTCAGAATTTTTCAGCATTCTTTTGTCCAAAAAGCTAAGTACATATGAATGGGCAAACATAAACTCAACGATTTATTTTTGGATATGTGTATAAGAATTTAAAAATGCTTTAAATAAAAAACCGTTCAAGATTTTGTCTAGTTTTACCATGTAGTAACGCAGAAGTTGGAAGAGTTTTCAGTGGCATGAACCTTATAAAAGCAGAAATCAGAAATAGAATGATATTATACACTATGAATTCTAATCATTATTCGATCTCTAATTTTCAAGTAGCAGGACAATACATTTTAATAAATGCATATTAAATTTAAAAACAGATGTTGGACGTTATTGGTCCTCCTTCTGAATAACCTTCACGGATCTGGAACCAATTTGTTTTCAAAAACCTGTCATCTCTAAAAAATTTCATGGTTTGGAAGGAAGTAATGCATATTCTTATAGAATTTGCCCTATAATAAAGCTTAAGAAAAGAGAGTCATGCCAATGGCTATTCAGAACAATAAATTAAGGTTTCTCTATATGAATTGTTGTAAAAAAGATCAGAAGTGTGCCATTCGTTTACTTCTTAATTAGCCTGGAATTCAATTTCAATATTTAGGTGGAATAGACATTTTGGTATTTTTCCACAAAAATTGCGGCCCATTTTTCCGCTAACTGTTATGACATCCAAAACGCTTGGGTTCGATACCGAACCCCCACTTAAAATTTCCTAAGGATCGGGCGATAATTATGACGTGTAAGAAAACTTTCAGTTTTTGGTCCATTTGAGCCCCTAAATATATTGCGATCATCTCCACCTCCATCCAACCTTTCGTGAGGATCGGGCTATAAAAGTGCCCTGCATATAATATTCTAACTATATAGTGTTGTAAGGAGTAAAATATTACAAAATGTAAAATTCAATATGGTAAGTCAAAATGAAAATATCTCATGTGACAAAATGGAAAAATATAAGAAAATATTACAAAATCAATATCCACATCTTTATTGATATCTTTTCATGCGTTTTTGTCTAGATTTTTCCCTTTCATGTCAAGAGGGCATTCTGAATTGACAAGATTTGTCAAAATCAGTCCAGCTATTTTTGAGATGTAAGCATTTTATATATCCGATATCTTCACTAACGACATTAACGTAACGGTCAGAATTTACCTTTTCGTCTATTTGTAATTTTACGGGGATTAAAAATATTCGCGGTATAATGGAAACATTTTTTTTTAAACCATAAGTTTTGGTCTATTTCACCCGCTCAATATTATCCGATGACCATCCAAATTGGAAAGCTTCTGCTCAGTCCTATGTTCTAACCCCATGCTAAATTCCGCGTCGATTGGTTTATAATTGTGACCTGTACGGCTCAGCTTAGCGAGATTAGAATATCAACATATACTTTCCTAAGTGAGAAGCCAAAATTTCGAAGTGTTACATCATTTTTGGTCCAACAAACTTATAATACCCCCAACACATGGGGTTGCAGGATTTAAAAATGTATTTATATTTAGAATTTTTTTTTTTTGGCATTTTAATTTTTTAAATTGGCATTTTTTAACATTATTTTTATGCTGTTTTAGCTGCAACACTATTTTAGATCTGGTCACACTGATCATAGTTGAAAAATGTACTAAATGTGAATTTTGTGTCAACCTATGAATTTCGATAACGCGTTGTTATCGAAAGTTAGTATTGTTTGTTCATGCAGGTAGGTTCGAATCATGAAAAAATAATAAAGGTAATCACATCGACTCAGCTGCTGGTACAATGAACTATCACTATTGGAATTGAAAAATTATTCTGGGAAATACATATCATAACAACCTTCGAATGACATTGTATAAGAAAACATAAAGACTGCCCAAAGTAGAACGCAAAAAAAAAATAAAACACAAAAATCATAAAATAGACATAATGAGGTTACGTATGGAACACGATATTGTACAAATGGCCGCCGCGGATTTGCTGACACACACGCGATCATGAAATTTCTAATTCCCAATGAAAAAATCTAAAGGTATTAAATAGCAAAAAAAAAAAAAAAAACACGATTGGGAAATGACTGATGCAGAAATTGAATTTATTCACTATACTGATCTGAGGATTGAGGTCTTGTTGGGACGCCCCTTATAAAATTCAGCTTATTTTTTTAACAAATGGTACAATAAGGAGGTAGAACAGCTTTGTAAGAGTACAGAAATAAAGCCCTGATGCTATGCCCGCTTCCTGTCAAATTTGAATGCAACGAGTGGTTTAATTTGTTCAATATTTTTCCTAGTTTTTAAAATCAGTTAAACAGCAGGAAAAATGAATGAAATTCCTGCATTTTCTTCCAAAAATAGGATCTAAACAGTTCTATCTTTCAATTTCATGGTAAAACTGGCTAATAGCTTTAATGCGCGTCTCACAATTTACGAGTCTTATAATCATTGATTTTGAAAATATTCTGTTTTTATATTTCAATACAATAAATAAATACACGAAATTGGCAGAAGTCGGGCACACTTAGAAAAAATTGTAATCGGCAGGATTTTAGTGCGGCTTTGTAATCCCTTTATAAAACATCGCAAAATATGCCCAGCCAGGCTTCACTTTTTATACTATCCGCGCGTAGCATAATGTCATATCACTGTTTTTTAGAATAATACAACAACAGTTCTAAGTATTTATGTTATCATTCGATGTGATTTTCGATTTGTCATAAAAATGAAGAAGACTTCATAAAATTTTACTTACTTGTTTTAACATCGCTCATGTAATTGTTAAGCACGTGGAAGAGAACCAGAGACAAGAGCGATATGGTATGTCAACGAAAACGTGTTTTGGTAGCAATTTGTAATATTATTGATATTGAATGATGATATGTTAAAGGTTTCGCATGTATCTAAAGAAACTATTTCTAGTGGTGATATTCCTTGGCTGTCTGAGATTTTTATTGCTAACATTTATTTTGGAATTTAACTATTGATAAATTTCTAACAGTACTTTTCTATTTTTGACAGGAAAGGAAATAGTTGACCAATGCGAGATTGCTTAACTGGCAGTCGAAGGTGAATATTGCTGTATTGCAGCATAATGGAAGTGGAGTACAAGCGGCTGTTCAGTTTATTACTTTTACCAACGCGGTTATTGGAAAATATAATCGATGTGGTAAGTCCAAGCAAGCGAATATTTTTTGGAACAGCTCTAGTTTAGTAAAAACTTCGATTTTTTCGAGGTAGGTATTTTTACCCCGATCCCGGGAAAATATTTTTTTCTTGGGGGGCGGTCCAGGGACCTCAGACCCCGAAAGTCCGGGATAAAGACCACGCCTGGACCCGGATCCACTTACCCGATATAGACAATATGGGTATCGATTGAAAGCTTATGGAAATACCTATACCAAGTGGTCACAAATTAAAGCTGACACTCTTACCTTTCCAAAATGCTACAATATGTGCTAATACCTTTTTCGGGTCCAGAGATATGAGTCTTTCCATCCACATAACCCGATTCTAACCAGTTCATTAAAATGATGTTTTCAATAAAAAAGGGTTTTTTTCGCGTAGCAGTCGTCGGAATAACAAAAGTTTTCTAAATTTGGCATTTTTTGTAAATAGCCGGCATTCGGCCGGTGCTTGAGATTTTCTCCTCTCGGTATGTCCGACTCCGACTAACGCGAACAAAAGTTTTCTAAATTCGGCACTTTTTGTAAATAGGGCTTGAGATTTTCTCCTCTGAGTATGTCCCACACCGGCTAACGCGAACTAAAGTTTTCTAAATTGGATACCTTTTGTAAGTAGCCGGCCTTCGGCAGGGGCTTGAGATTTTCTCCTCTGGGTATGTCATACACCGGCTAACGCGAACCAAAGTTTTCTAAATTTGACAATTTTTGTAAATAGCCGGCCTTTGGCCGGGGCTTGAGATATTCTCCTCTGGATATGTCCCACACCGGCTAACGCAAACCAAAGTTTTCTAAATTGGATACCTTTTGTAAGTAGCCGTCCTTTGGCCGGGGCTTGAAATTTTCTCCTCTGGATATGTCCTACACCGGCTAACGCGAACCAAAGTTTTCTAAATTGGATACCTTTTGTAAGTAGCCGGCCTTCGGCCGGGGCTCAGATTTTCTCCTCTGGGTATGTCTTAAACCGGTTAACGCGAACCAAACTTTTCTAAATTTGACACATTTTGTAAATAGCCGGCCTTCGGCCGGAGCTTGGGATTTTCTCCTCTGAGTATGTCCAACACCGGCTAACGCAAACCAAAGATTTCTGAATCTGATGCTTGCGCGAAATATACCTTTTTTATTGAAAACTTAGTTTTAATGAACTAGTTACAATCGGGTTATGCGGATGGAAAGACCCATATCTCTGGACTCAGTAAAGGTATTAGCACAAATTGGAGCATTTTGGAAAAAATGAAAAGAATACACAAAAAAGAATTTTGCACAAAAATGTAATGCTGTTTAATCAATTAATCATTATTTAATATTTTAGGGGCAAGCAAAGGAATTCGGTCCGAAGCATTTCGTAAATTCCTCCGGCGTATTTTTTCAGTATTTTGTTCATTACATTGCGACTCATTTACAGAAACAATCGAAACTCCAGGCATTGCATAAAAAAAATTAACGAAATGAACTTTCTCTTTGCAGAAAAAACTCTCATTAACTGAATATTTTTCACAAGTTACACTTCTACAATGTTTTCTAATCATGTGTTTTTTTATTCCTTATTCATCCGTTTTTTCATTCCCCTAATGTTACAATATTGAATATATAATGTTGCCATATATATGTACACTGAATTTGTAGTTCCCCAAATCGTACGAAATCTGAAGAAGCTAAAACAAAAACGTACGGTTTTGAATTGCGAAATTTCGATACGATTTTGTGACATGCCTGTATATATGACTTTACCCGTAAATGTAAAAATGTAAACCATTGTTAATAAAACATATGAAAACGTAAATAAATGTTTTGAAAGAATGAGGATTTTTCCATCCATTGTAGTTTTAAAACGTGAATTACAGCATTACCTAAAATTTGACGTGGCTAACACGTTTTTTTGTACACGTTTTTACTGGAAGCTGTTAGTTTACACCAGCACTGATACGAATCGTGTGCTAACACATGATTCCAAAAAAGAAATTATTGAAGAGTAAATAAAAATTATTTTTATACCCTCCACCTGGGAAGGGAGGGTATATTAACTTTGTCATTCCGTTTGTAACATCCTTAAATATTCGTCGTAGACCCCATAAAGTATATATATTCATAATCAGCATAAAATTCTAAGTCGATTTAACGATTTCCGTCTGTCTGTCTGTCCGTCTGTCTGTCTGTTGAAATCACGATACAGTCCACATTATTTGACGTAGAGCGCCAAAATTTAGCAGAGCAATTTGTATTATGTCTAGGATGGTTGGTATTGAGATATATCGGTCCACGTTCTGGTATAGTCCCCATATAACGGTACCTCCCGATATTCGGTATTTTGATGATTTATGCCACATTTTTTCACGGATTTGTCTGAAAATTGGTATTTGTAGGTCATGACGGGTTCCAGTTCCGGTGGCGGAACATTGCATGTATGGGTCCATGATTTGGTATAGCCCCCATATAACGGTACTTCCCGATTTTCGGCATTTTAATGGTTTTTGCCACATTTCTTTTAATGTTTCCTTTACCCTAAGGTGGAGGGTATTAAAAGTTTGGCCCGGCCGAACTTAATGTTTTTTTACTTGTTTACTTTATATTTATCCATTCATTTCAATTGGTTGTTGTCCAAAATTATTAATATAGCGGTTTTTGATGACTTAAATTTTAAAAATAAGTAAGAGAAATTGGACTGGTTTACACTAAAGTCCAGCTAGTGAGAGCGAAATGAGAGAGACATTTTGACACATGACTCTTATTAGTTCGTTCCCAGGCCTACATAAGGTCGACCAAGACGACTATTTTCAGCGCTGCTCAAAAACAAGTCAGTGTTATAACATTATATATATATTTTTATAGTTAATTATTAGCCTTATTAAGACTTTGGAAAAACTTCATATCTTATTATTTTTAAGAACAATATTTTTTACAATATATGCAAAAAATGTCAATGTCCTGTCTTTCAATTCTAATTAAACGTTCAGTGAATAATTACAAAAACGCGGCGATCTTAAAATATTATTCTTTTAGATATGTTCAATACAAATAAATCAAATTTGCAAATTTGTAAAAACAATATTTAAGTGTACATTGCGGAAATATATGTACATTTAAACATTTAAAGAGATTAACAGTTCGGAAAAGACTGAAGTTCTTACTGGTGCTGTTATATTTTTAATTTTTTACATTTTCCTTTTTATTTTCTAAATACAATATATTTTTTGTGTATTTAACTTGTTAAATTAATTAAATTTGTACATTAAAAATACATTTATGTAATAAAAATTAAATACTTATGAATAAATGAGTATAAAGTATGTTTAATTAAATGCGTTGTTTTATTTCTACTTTAATTTCCACTTAAAAAAACAATGATTCTCATATCGAATTTTGTATAATTTAGCAAAGTCGGATAGGATGTTCAATAAAATACTGTTGTTTCACTTAATAATACTTGTAAATATTAAATTTACAATCCTTAATTTCTTTCATAATAATCATTATATTCATTATCAACGCTATTATACCAACATCTAATATTTTTTTCAAATCATAAAAAGCACTGATGCCAGTACATTTTTTTTTAAATATGGTACATGTGGTACGCTGCGATTTTTAATGCTCCGATTGCGGAACGCTACGTTTGTTCGGTGGCCCGATTGCTGTACACTACGATTTTTTTGCGCTCCGACTACGGTACACTACGATCATCGTTGTGTTGTGGTACAGTATCACTAAAATATTTTTAGTGGTAGCGTACCGGTACACTACAGCTACAATTTTTTTAGTGATACTGTACCAGAACATTACACTATCTTTGTGTACTGCTTATTTTCGAACGCTGTCTACGATCGATTGATGTATTACATTTTGGTATAATTTGTTTTTGTTTCGTAAACAATATTAAAGTTTTCTGTACAACAAGTTGTGCGTACATTTCGAAAGATGGCATTTTTAGTTTTGAAAGTTGGATGCTGTCATTGAAATACTATGGAAAAATTGTATATAATATGTTAACATGAAATTACCTTGTACAATTTTCCATGAAAATTACGTGCAAAAACAGTTCTGTGTGTGGTCACTGTTATGACATAATCAGACAGGTAATATAGCTTCGAAGGAAATAGGACGAATGAAATACATAAAGCTCTTATTTGACTGGTTTAAGTCATCGACTGGCTTCTTCGTAGAGGAACAAAGGAGTTATATGTTGACATAGTTCGATTTTGGCCCTAGACTCCTTTGTTCATTTTCGAAGAAGCCAGTCAAATAAGCGCTTAAGATACTTTTAAGGATACTTTTTATTGAAAAATGAAGGGACGATATAAATGTCTAAGCGAAAATGCATTCATTCATCACAAATAAATAATATCATAATGCACTGTAATTTATCTTGTTCATTAAATAGATAAATAATGTTTCCCTTAAAGACAGGGAAAAACAAGGAAACCATCAATAACCGTAAACCATGAAAAGCACCATTTTTTTAGAAAGAGTTATAAAATTGTATAACCGGTTATCGAAGTAACATTTTTGTTAGTAACTGCCATGGTAAAATTAAGAAGGTAAAGTCATTTCAAAAAAGCATATCCACCTCTGAATTTTCTGTATTTTTCCTTGATTAATTTCACTGAATATAAAACAGATTCCCATCTCTGATTTCTGTGTATACAAAAGATTTATAAATATAAATTTTGACAATGAGATGTTGTCAAATAAAAATTTTTGCGTTTTCGCTCAATGTTGTTTTTTCTGACTTCCTACTTTTTCAACTGTTTTACTATATGAGAGCACACAACATAAATTTTTGATAGTACGGTTTTTTCCTACTATTACCAATAAAAAGTACTGGGAAGGAGCTGTTATTGAATGTGACAAATCGATACAGCAGAATGCTCGCGTTGATCCATTTTATAGCGGATTTAAATAAAAATGTTATCCACACTAAACCGGATTTACGGTACATCAGTGATTGTACGTTTGACAGATTTTAAGGTTTTCGACTTTGAAAAGTTATAAAAGTCAAAAACGTCATATACCTGTATAAAACGTCATAGACTTGTAAAATACTGTAAAATAACCACCCTTAAGACCGTGGTTGTATTCATAAAAACAACTGCACAACACAACAAAAATGTGAAAAATTATCATTATTCAGATTTAGACATATTCTATCTGATTACTTCGTAGGTTCATACAAATTAAAGAGAATGTAAACTGTAATAGAAACAGTTTAAAAACAATTCTTTATATTCGCTCTCAAAGGTTTGTCCTGGAATTCGACTGAAGCACTCCCCCTATGGAATTCGCATAAAACTTATAAGATCTCTCATCGTTACAAAGAAGGCGTTTAATGCTTAAAGCAATATTTTGAATACTATTTTTACGTGGTAATTTGTAAAAATAGTAACAGAACTGTCAGACTTGTATTTTGCTCGTTGTTGTGTGCTTAGTAATATAAATCCTTTTGCTAATAGTGGCTCATGTTGTACTTTAGCTGGTGTTTCCCTTCAATACTAACCCTCCATGGTGCGGACTATGGGTGTATGCGCCCCTAAGTATTGGGGAGGTCGCCCCCCTCTGTCGGCAGGGGAGGGAAGTGTGACGTTGGGACCGAATAAAAAAATTTTTGATGGGCCATACAAAAATACCAATAGTACGTAAAGCAATTTCCACATTTACAGTGTTTTCTTATAATTTGGTTCTTTTTTACTCTATTAATTCCTCTAATGTTGCCGTATTTACACGGAATAATGAGATTTTCTTAATTCTCTAAATCGATTGGAACTTGAAGCTAAAAAAATTATAAATTATGGAATTTGTGATATGCCTGATATGATAATAGAAAACCAGTAACGAAAGTCTTAAAGTCGGGCGGGGCCTACTTTATGATACCCTACAACACTTTGCTAATTTAGTAGAGCTCCACATAACAATTAAACGTTTTTATGGGAGAATTCAATCACGCTATGATTATAATTATAATTTAAAGTTCAAAAGACTAAATATGCCGAAGCATTTGTATCTTTTAAATTCGGACTTGTATTGAACATTTGATATATATGGGAGCTATATCCAAATCTGAACCGATCTTGATAAAATTTGGCAAAGATATTTCTGAGCAGTATTTCATATATTTCCCTGAATATCGTTGTTACGGAGTGCATATTACGGCTGTGGGTAACAAATATAACAAACCGATCTTCACCAAATTTGACATACTAGCTTCTAGACTCAATTCGGCCGTAAGTGCCAAATATCATTTGGCATTTGCCCATTTGGGCAAATATTAGACGTTTAGTGCACAATAAAAGGTAAATCGGACGAAGTTATATATGGGAGATATATCCAAATCCGAACCGATCTCGATAAATTTAGCAAAGGTATTTCTGAGCTGTATTTGATATATTTCTCCAAATATAGTTGCTGGGGAGGACTAAAATAACAAATCGGGTGAACAATGTATATTGGATCTATAGCTATATCTGGACCAATTTCGATCAAATTTGGCATACTTATGTTCAGGCCTAATTTGTTGTATGTGCAAAATTCCACACTATTGGGTCTTATATTACACGTTTGGTGCAAAATAAAAAGCAAATCGGACGAAGATATATATGGGAGCTATATCTAAATTTTTACCGATTATCTCCAATTTCAATAGGGCCAAACAAATGATTTGTGCAAAATTTCATCTGGATCAGGTAATAAATGCGAACTGTACTTTGTTCACAAAAATACATGGACAGACGGACGGACATGCATAAATCGACTCAGAATGTGATTCTATGCAGATCATCAAAAGGAACTATGTGTCTATTTCGTTTCCTTTTTGCCTGTTACACACAAATGCACAAATACATAATAACCTGTGGTGTAGGATATAAAAACAGGTGTGTGTTGTATTGAAGTGAGTAATAGCTCTTTTAGATACAACATTTTATCCGAATTTACCCACTTTTCAGCATCCGAAAGACCGGGATCAAGACCCCGCCTGGGCCCGGATCCACTTACCCGATATAGACAATATGGGTATCGATTGAAAGCTTATGGAAATACCTATCCAACAAGTGGCCACATGAAGTAAGTTGGTAAGTTGTCATGGTTCGGAAGTTATAGTCAAATTATCGATTTTTTGGACCCGGATTTTTTATGAAAAGGCCCATTATGGGGGTCAACAAAATTATTTCCAAATTAAAGCTGACACTCTTACCTTTCCAAAATGCTACAATATGTGCTAATACCTTTTTCGGGTCCAGAGATATGGGTCTTTCCATCCACATAACCCGATTCTAACCAGTTCATTAAAATGATGTTTTCAATCGATAATTCGATAATTTGACTCCTCTGAGTATGTCCAACACCGGCTAACGCAAACCAAAGATTTCTGAATCTGATGCTTGCGGAAATATACCTTTTTTCATTGAAAACTTAGTTTTAATGAACTAGTTAGAATCGGGTTATGCGGATGGAAAGACCCATATCTCTGGACTCAGTAAAGGTATTAGCACAAATTGGAGCATTTTGGAAAAAATGAAAAGAATACACAAAAAAGAATTTTGCACAAAAATGTAATGCTGTTTAATCAATTAATCATTATTTAATATTTTAGGGGCAAGCAAAGGAATTCGGTCCGAAGCATTTCGTAAATTCCTCCGGCGTATTTTTTCAGTATTTTGTTCATTACATTGCGACTCATTTACAGAAACAATCGAAACTCCAGGCATTGTATAAAAAAATTAACGAAATGAACTTTCTCTTTGCAGAAAAAACTCTCATTAACTGAATATTTTTCACAAGTTACACTTCTACAATGTTTTCTAATCATGTGTTTTTTTTATTCCTTATTCATCCATTTTTTCATTCCCCTAATGTTACAATATTGAATATATAATGTTGCCATATATATGTACACTGAATTTGTAGTTCCCCAAATCGTACGAAATCTGAAGAAGCTAAAACAAAAACGTACGGTTTTGAATTGCGAAATTTCGATACGATTTTGTGACATGCCTGTATATATGACCACCTGACTTTACCCGTAAATGTAAAAATGTAAACCATTGTTAATAAAACATATGAAAACGTAAATAAATGTTTTGATAGAATGAGGATTTTTCCATCCATGGTAGTTTTAAAACGTGAATTACAGCATTACCTAAAATTTGACGTGGCTAACACGTTTTTTTTGTACACGTTTTTACTGGAAGCTGTTAGTTTACACCAGCACTGATAAGAAGCGTGTGCTAACACATGATTCCAAAAAAGAA